CTTTCCTTTCCTTTCCTTTCCTTTCCTTTCCTTTCCTTTCCTTTCCTCTCTTTTCCTCTTCTCTCCCCTCCCTCCCTCTGCCCTTCCCCTCCTTTCCTATTTCTTCCTTCCTTCTTCTCTTCCTCTCAATATTTATGTAATCTTGATCTATAGGCTTTCTGTCTATGTGGAGGTTATATTCTATGTCATTTCCATCAATCTCATGTGTTCTTCAGATTATCTTCATGTTTTATGAAGGCAGAAACAGGAGTATTAACTTCCAAGGGTCATGCAGAATCAAACATACCCTCCCCAGATCCTTTCCACCTCCGTTTTTGCTCTTCTCTTGCAGACCTTTTCTTCTCCTTTCTTCTCTGTCTGAGAGCTGTTTTGGGATCAGTAATCCAGGCCTGATAAACAAACTAGAGGGAACAACATCATTCATTTTTCAGATTTTGAATACTGTTAAAGTAAACAGTAAAGTGTTCCACACCTAGGAATATCAACAGGGACACACTCACATCTGCAGGTGTGAGCATGTTTCCAATCCCAAACACATCACAATATCCCATCCTCCACTCAGGCCTGCTGAGTTTGTCTATGACATTTTCATTAGCATAAAACCAAATATGAAAACAGCTGAAGGAGGAACAAGTTTCACAAGAACCCATATAAATGCATGCAATGAAATTAGGGTACATGCTACCACTTCTCCCATGCTCCTTGACCACCAGGGGGTCCATTTGTCATAATCTTATTTCTGCCTCTTCTGTTTTACAATTAGACAAGAAACTGCAAGTCTGACCAGTAATCACTTTTCTGTCCCTTCTTTCTCCACCACAAAAGACAAGGTATTACAGATAAATGAAATATTTCCAGTGCTTTCATTTACTTTGGAAACATTGGTTTTACATATCTGTAATAAATTCCATCAGCAGACATAAGTTGAATTTTACCAACAGCTGTACAGATGTCTTTGTTAGAGTAAAACAGTAGTGTTATATACAATTATGCATGTCTGTGTGTACACACATACACATACATAAGCATACATAATCACTTTTTTTCCAACATCACCAAGCAAGTGTGAACTAACAGGGTTAATAAGTTATTGCAAGACAGTCTAAAGATAAGTCAGTGCTTTTGGTTGACTTTTATAACTTTCATTCAAGAGCTGAAAATAGTTATCATAACATGGATGATACCAACATATAACACATCTTGAGCAGTATCTAAGGATGCCACAAACTCATGCAAAAGGAAAAGCCAGTTCCCAAGGATATCTAATATCACAAGCCAAGCAAGCATGCCCTCATGCACCCATGGATACACCTGGGTCTCAGGGAAGCTGGATTATAGAAGAAAAAAAAAGTTTGGTTTGTGGATGTTCTTTTAGATCCATAAATATTTTTTCTGTTTTTTTTTGAGATGCCTAATGAATGAAACAATTTTATTGTGAGGATCAAATTAGGTAAAATACACAAAATGCTTTGCAAATCTTAAATTATTATATAAATGATAGCTATTGTTATTATGAAATACAGCATAAGCAAACATTTTGAATTTTGGGTTCAGGTGTACAAGGGGAACCTAGTTACTTCAGGAATGTAAATGTGAGGACTGTTTTAGTAAGGAGAAATGTTTCCTTTTTTCCCCTCAGTGGTAGAAATGTGAATCTTAGGGACAGAGAATGAATATAATATTTCCTTTCATTCCAAATGCAAAACCTAAGAGGCAAGAAAATATTCTATTCTAAAACTGTTCTTTTTAATGACAAGTGAATTGGCATTTAGAGGGCAAGGTTTAAATAAGAAAATGTGAATAACAGGTTTAAGTTTCTCTCAATTTAAGCAAACTAGTCCATAACACTTCAGACTTAAGGAATTAGTAAAGTAGGACACCTAATTGCCAGTGTACACCCTGGAGTCTTCAATGTAAATAAAATGGGAGCTTTGGATTGAGATTCAGTACCTGCTTTAATTGGGTAAGAAGATACTAAGATGTAATTTGAAGTGTGAATAGGGACTGTTTCATTTAGTGTATTTGTACCTCCAACACCTGGAGCAGTGCTTGTCACATAGTAGGCTCTTAATACATATTAACTGATTGATTATCACCTCTTTTACTTATTGATAAAATCTTAAGTATCAGTGTAAGATAAGGGACTTATAAAATAAGGTGAGGGGAAAACAAAAAAAAAATCTGTTGAACTAACTACTTTGAATATTAAAACCACAAAATTAGCATCATATCATAACTGTAATAGAGATTTTTACATTCAAACCAGACCTCAATCCTAGAGATAATATTGCTTAACTCCTCCATTATAGAGATAGGGAAACTGAAGCCCAGAGAGAGGAAGAGCCTTATATCAGACTGCTCTCAAAGCAGCTTTCTATTAAATAACAAAATATGAATGAATGTTTGCAAAGGGACTATAAAAGTGATCTTGTTGACATTTGTGCTTAGGATGTGTAGATCAGTTATGTATTTGATACTGTCTTTAAAAAGGTCTCACTGAACTTATGTATGGGTCCTGGCGACTTGGAAGTACTATACCAAGCCTCCAGTCCTTTAGAAATGGTGTGATGAATTCAAGGAGGGTAAAGGGAAAATGAAGTCTGAGTCTTGAATACTGAGATCAAAAGGTTACCGAGCCAGAAAATAAGGTCTGGACAAAATTGGTACTTTAGCAGCACACTCCAGAGTTTTACCAGCTTCTGAGAAAGATAACCATACTTTCTATGCCTCATAACTGATGCATGCAGCCAGATGTGACCCTTCTATGAGCCAGATGTGGCTTATGCAGTATTATTAAAAGGCTAGAAAAATATGGATATCTGCATTTTCTCTTTCTATTTCTTGATGGCCTCCAATTGTGGCATGAAAACAAGAAAAATGCATGATAGTTATACCACTTGAGAAAACTCATTTTGGGAGAGTTAGGGCAATAAGTAATTTTCAACATTATTAGTTCATTATCTATAGAGAAGGGAAAATGCAGATACAGGGCAATGGGGGATGTTTGACTAAATTCCTAAAAAGAGAAGGGTATTGCTACATGTCAGTGAAACATTAAAATACCTTTGCAGCTCTGATTAAGTACTGAAGAATAGTTTTGGGAAGTTTAATGACAGACTTTGGCAAGGCTAAAATGGCTGATGCAAACTTCCCAATAGCTCTCTACAAAGAAGGACAAAGTGAAAATAATTAGTAGAAAAAACCAAAATCAGTACTGTAATACAAAACTTCCAAATGAATTTATCTCTATTGTTAGATTACCATTAGGGAAAAATGACAACTGCTAAGGTTAAGAACCATGCCAGCAGAGATGTGCTCAATTTATAAGTTAGGAATAAAAAGAAATATGCTCGATGTCATGCATATAATCTATGAAAAATAGTCAAGGCAATCCATTTCTTTCTCTTGATAGCTAAATGAGAGGTAGTGATTAGAAATCATGTTAGAAGAAAAATAAACAAAAATGAGTCATTAGTATTTAGCACAACAGCTATCCATGCACACAACAAAAAAAGAGACAATGTAGAATTTCTTTAAAACACAGAAAGGATAAAGAGGCATACATATATGACTACTTAGAACTCAGCTCTTTGTTTTTCTTTCTATTGAAGATAGGTAGATAAGAGCTTAGGCACCTAGAAAGATGTCATCACCAGATTTACACTGCCTTTACTTCCCCAATTCCATTATCTGAACCATTACATATCTAGTAAAATGACAAACATTATTATTACAAATGGCATGCCAAAATGTATTGCTAATATATAAAATAAAACTACTACATTCTTATGATTATACATATGAAATCCCATCAATATCAAAGTGATTAAATATCCACTCCATTATCTGGCTGACTTATAGAAAGGAGACAGAGCTCCTGAAAATGCAGCATAGCAGAATAATAGTTATCCTTAATTATATTCATTGGTGAGATCAGTAGTGTCAGTTCATACACCACTGAAAACAAATGTATAAATGAGCCCTATTTGAAAATGACAAAATGATTTTAACATGATCCTTTGCTTGACAACCACATGGTTATGGACTTGTGGGTCATCATGATTGACTCTTGCAGTATCAGAGAAGGATTTCATTGAAATTGTCTAAAGCAATTCCAAAGAATAGATGTTGTCCTGTGAATTTTTTTTTAACATTTTATTTAAAGTTTTGAATTCCAAATTCTATCCTTCCCTTCCTCCTTCCCTCCTCTTCCCTGTCCCTGAGATGGTAGGCAATCAGATATAGGTTATACATGTGCAATTATGTAAAACATTTCCATATTAGTCATTTTGTATAAGAAGATTTGAATAGAAGAAAAAATGAAAAAAGAAAGTGAAAAATACAGCATGCTTCAATCTGTATTCAATCAATTATCAGTTCTTTCTCTGGAGGCAGATAATATGCTCCTTCATTAGTCCTTTGGTTTTGTCTTGGATCATTGCATTGTTGAGAATAACTAAATCATTCACAGTTCTTCATCAAGCAATATTGCTTCTGTGTACAATATTCTTTTGGTTCTGTTCACTTCACCATGCATCAGTTCAGGTAAGTCTTTCCAGGTTTTTCTGAAATAATCTTGCTTGTCATTTCTATCTTCCTTTTTTTTTAACCATTTTGAATTAGTTAATTTATTTTTAGTTTTCAATGTTCATTCCATAAGCTTTTGAGTTTTAAATTTTCTCCCCCTCCCTCCCTAAAACAGCATGCAATCTGATATAAGCTCTACATATACATTCCTATTAAACATATTTTCACATTAGTCATGTTTTAAAGAAGAATTAGAACCAATAGGAAGAACCATAAGAAAGAAGAAACAAAACAAAACAGAAGAAAGAAAAAAAGGAGCAAATAGCATGCTTCCGTCTGTATTCAGACTCCATAGCTCTTTCTCTGGATGTGGATACCATTTTCCATCACGAGACTTTTGGAGATTTTTTTAGATCCTCTCATTGCTGAGAGGAGATAAGTCTACCAAAGTTATTCATCACACAATGTGGCTGTTACTATGTACAACTTTTTCCTGGTTCTGCTCACTTCACTCAGCATCAGTCCATACAAGTCTTTGCAGGTTTTTCTGAAGTCCACTTGCTAATCACTTCTTGTAGCACAATGGTATTCAGTTATATTCATATACCACAACTTGTTCAGCCATTCCCCAATTGATGGGCATCCCCCCAATGTCCAATTCTTTGCCACTACAGAAAGAGCTGCTACAAATATTTTTGTACATGTGGGTCCTTTTCCCATTTTTATGATCTCTTTGGGATACAGCCCTAGAAGTGGATATTGCTAGGTCGAAGGGTATGCACAGTTTTATAGCTCTTTGGGCATATTTCCAAATTGCTCTCCAAAATGGTTGGATCAGTTGCTTGTCATTTCTAATAGCTCAATGATCTTCCAT